ATGTCCGGACCCTTGGCTTAGTTACATAAATAATTTATAACAATTATCACAATTCCCTTTCAACTCAATGTTTTCAGAGCTGCCATTCAGCATTTAAACCTAAACAAGCTAAATGAATGGTAACATCATTTTGCCACGGAGATTATGCTCCAAAACATGTATGTGATGTAGCAAATTAATTCATATGCATTTTCAAACTTAACCATGCCACGAACCAAAGTGTTAAGAGTAAAGAATTAGTTTCAATTCCCTTACCAAAAGAACGCAAGTAACTGTCTTTTACACTTCAGAAAATACACTGTCATCCACATGCTCATTATTGGGGGAACTGCTACCAGATTAACCCTTTTTAGCAAAAAATTTTTTTTTTCAGCTTAAAATAAGAGGAAAAGTAAAGGGAAAAAGTAGATATGGAGAAGGAAAGAAATTATGTCACCCTGATAGAATAAGCCTTGGTTTGGATAAAACGTCTATCCTCTTGGCAGAGCCTCTTTAAGGCTTAGTTTTGTTCCATCTGAGAATGCATTTATTTTACTTTCATTCTTGAAAGGTATTTTTTGCTGGTTGCTAGGTTGACTGGTGTTTTTCTTTGGCACTTTAAAATTATCATTCCACTGTTTTCTGGCCTTCAAAATTTCTGATGAGAAGGCAATGGTCTTTTGAATTATTTCTTTGTATGTAGTTTGTCATTTTTCTCTGGCTGCTTTCAAGATTTTCTTTTTATCTTTGGTTTTCAGCAGCTTTGACTGGGTACAGTTTTCTTTGTAATCTATATTACTTAAGTTCACTGAGTTTCTTGAAAATGTAAATTTATGTCTTTCATCATATTTGGCAAATTTTTGGACAATATTTCTTCAAACAATTTTGTTGTTACCACCCCATTTTCTCTCTATTCTCCTGCTGGGATGACAAATATCAGGCTTTTTTGTACTGTTTGGCAGGTCCCTGATGATGCTGATGTTCATTCTTGCTTTCAGTCTTTGTGTGTATGTGTGTGTGTGTGTGTTCTTCAGACTGAATCATTTCTATTGATCCACCTCCAAGTTCACTGACTTTTCCTCTCTTATACCATTCTGTGTTAAGCTCATCAAGTAAAGTTTTTACTTTCCGTGACACTAGGTCATATTTTCTTTATTCTTCAAATGTTATTTAATTTTGGATTGTACCCTGGACATTTTGAAAGTTATATTGTGAATACTCTGGATTCTGTTATATTCCTCTAAAACTTAAAAGGAGTGTCACTATTTTTGTTTTAATAAGCAATTAATTACTACATTGGAATCAAACAACAAACTCTGTCACTTGAGTGACAGCTCAAATCATACCTCAGTTTTTTTTTAATATGTAGCTAGGCTGCTTTGTGCCTGCCACACGGAGGTGTGGTTCAAGTATCTAGTACAGCTTGTTTTTTGTGTGTAGGCAGCCCCCACACAAAAATGGACTGTGATCCAAAGGATATTGTCTAGTATGCTGATTTAACTCAGAACTCTGAATGCATTTCTCATAAAGACAACTCTGTTACCTTGAGTGGTTATATTAACAAACCATTTAACCAAATCATTTATCCAATTTGTACCCAAATCCAGCTATAATTGCTTATTTATATAAGAAAAAGCAAAGCAGTGTCTTGGTTTCTTTTTCTCATAATCAGACAACTGAGAAAATAACTCTGGTATTGGGCCACTTTTACCATTAAGTTCTCCTGAGTAAGCAAATGTGCCAATCACCACTTTTTAAAATTCTAACATGGGAGGGACTTCTCTTTCAAGGTAAAATATAGAAGAATGGAAGACATTTGTTTCTGTGGTAACAATAAGAAAAATCCAGATAAAATAAAAATTATACTTTTCCAAGAGGCTAGCAAAGAGCATGAATGCAAGGAATCTGTGACAGCCATCCTCCAGGATGGCTCCCATGCTGCTCCCCTCCTGGAAGTTCCCTCTCACAATGAATAGGGTTAACCTGTGTAATCAATAGGATATAATAGAAATGGCAGTGTGTGACTTCAAAGCTAGGACATAAAGAGGCAGTCCCCTGCTCTAAATTTTCACCACTCTACTTTTCTCTTAGGGTATTTATTTCTTGTATTACAGTTATTTTTATATATTAGGATAAACATCTAAATTATCTTTTCTACAATTATTAGCACAGTGCTGACTTGCTAAAGTTCAATAATTACTTGACAAATAAATGAACATAGAATAAGGAGGAGCTAACTTTATTCACGTTTCTATGAATATCAAAGATAATTTTGTGAGACTTCTGAGATTTCCTGAAACTGCAACATTTGTTATTAGCTATTTTTATACCTTTTTATATGCCTTATACCTGGTTCTCTATTTTCCTTCTGAGATGTGAATTATATATATATATGTCAGACATTTTTATATCATGCCACAGGTCCCTAAAGCTGTATTCATTTTGCTCTAATTTTCTTAGACTGTTAATCAGAGAAGGGTAATACAATTCTTTCAGAGAAAGGACAGTACAGCAGGAGCTGATGTGTTCTTTATTCCAGACCTACCTCTGGGCTAGAAAGAACATGTGATGGTGGTGGAGAACCAAGTGTGCTGATCCTTCTATGCTCAGCTTAAGTATCATCTCCTTGGAGAGAATTAGCACTGAGTTTGTTTAATTATTGACTGTTCACTTGGATCCCTAGCTAGATTATGAGGTCCAGGAAGGCAGGTACTGAATTGTTTGGCTCCTACATTGTATGTCCATTGTCTAGACAGTGACCAGACAGAGTAGTTGCTCAATAAATATGCACTGAATAAACAACCGAACCAAGATCCTTGTTCAGAATCAAAAGGTACACTTTCTAGGCCTCAAATACCCTATGCTCTTTATATAAGATTTACCTTAGAACCCTGTTCTAGACCTTGCCCCTCCTTTTCCCAAAGCACCCCCACTTTGACTTGGAATGGGAGAGTCCCTTTGTACATATACAACAGATAAAAGAGATGAAAGAAGGGGAGCCCCTAAATTCTGTTGCCAAGATTTCAATAGTCACATGTATTAGAATTCTGAATACATTTTTGCCACAGAAATATTTTATAAGTAAGTATAATTTGGGGGTGCAAAATGGGTTAAATGACCTTTTAATGAGCTGGCTAGGAGTATAACCACCAGAACCGCTTCTATAAGAAATGCATTCTGAGTTAAACCAACAGATTAAAAATACCTTTTGGATCACTGTTTCTTTGTATGTGGGACTGCCAACATTCCAAAATCTATTAATATTAGAAAACTGTTTGATAACTATCTTTTTAAAAATTTTATTTATCTTCTTATTACTACTACCAAAGGGAGATGCTAATAATAATAAAAAATGTAGACAATCTGCTAGTAATTTGCATATTCTGCCTTACTGTTTTCTCAGAGATTTGGAACTCTCATAAAATTCACTACCTCTGCTACCAGATACCAAGTCAACAATTAAAATATATCAAAAAAAAAAAAGGGAATTCCCTGGTGGTCTAGTGGTAGGGACTTGGTACTTTCATTGTCGTGGGCCCAGGTTCGATCCCTGGTCAGGGAACTAAGATCCTGCAAGCTGCACGGCTCGGCCAAAAATGAAATAAATAAAATAAAATATACTATCTCTCTACTCTGCACAAATAGAACTTTCTGGCAGTCAGTAATATCCATGTCTAAACACCAAAGAAGAAGGCTCTTTACCTCAAGTAAGAGCTATTCTTTAATTGTGGTAGAGATTTAAATCATATTTCAGTGCAGTCTCTGAAGGCTTTGGTGCAAGAAAATTGCCTTCAGCTTTGGAGCCTACTTGCATCATTCTGTGTATCTTGGTGATTGAGGGTATTTCATTCACCACTTGGAAAAATTAGGCTATATTATAGATCTTTTACAAACTCATTATGATTAATGAGTGAGTAGGATCGTAGCTGTCACATGATCAGATGTAGAAAAATCAATGAGCTAAAAACTCCATTACATATTCTATTTTCTATGCTTCATAGAAGGTTCTGGAATATGTCTCTGGGCTTGTATTTCATCAGCCTATACAGGCACTGAATTCATCTAGGGCTCTCCCAAGATAACAACTGTATAATTTTTCTTAGGGGAAGGCCACTAGGATTACCCTCTCTGGAGCAATCACTGCTCAATGCCCATCCCTCGGAGCCATGCCAGCAGGGGAATGGCTGTCGCTACACACAAGTTTATTGGCATCCCTTTCCTTGCCAGAACTACATACAGTATGAGCCAGGTTATGCAGGATGTTTGAAATTATAAGGAGAGAGTCAACATGCTGGCTAAGTACCCTCAAAGGTGCTCCAAGTATCCTTTGGCTGCTTAAGTGAGGCCAGTCAAAAGCAGTTTCTGGCAGCTGAGTTGTCCGGTGTTAAGCCCACGCCACTCTGGGAACCACTTTAGGGTTGGTTCTTTCTCACTGCTATAGAAGGAGAAGCTGAAGCCATCTTTCTAAAAGCCTAACTGAGAATGAAAGATGATTGCTGCTCTGAAAATAAAAGCCTATCGTTTCTTATTAACTGAAACATACGTTTTGGTTGCTAGAATCATGATTTGTATTGAGGGACTATTTCAAATGTTGAGCTCTAAATATTTTCAATTGGTATAGTCCTAGATACTAATGTAGTAAAATTGTCACTGCAATGGAGTGCAGAGAAAGAAAAGCTTTTATGTTAATGCAGATTCCTCCAGTTTCTGTGACTGATACTATTGAGCTTATAATGGTATGCATAGATTAATTTTTCTTTTGACTGGAAAATAACAAACAACTTACTGACCAAATTTACAGCTTACTAACTAAACTTGAAGTACAATACTCTAAATTGCTTGCTCAATATTCTTGACTTTTAAGGGTATTTGGTTTAATATATTAAGCCCCAAAACAAAACTGAACAGGATTATCAAAAGTAGTACATCTATTTTTGAGTTTTATCAGGACTAAATATTGAAGTAGAAACAAAGGTAGCAAAAGAGGTGAGTGATAGTATAAAACGTGAAATCAGCCTTACCCACTGCACCCGATGACTTTGTTGTACAGATAGGACGGCAAGCCTTTCAGATGAATGTTGTTATCCACGTACACATATTGTAGTTCTCGAGATCGACCTAAATCTGGATTAGAAAGAAAAGTGCTATAATTCCTATAAATATACACCAATATAATGTGAAACATAAAATTTAATACATAATATTAAAATAATTCAAATTTCTACTCTGGAAGAAAAAAAGTGTTGCAGATTTAACTAGGTGTGAAATTATGTCAGCTGTAATATGAGATTCTACATCAGAAAACATGACTATTGAAAAATTACTCAACCCACCTGAACCTTGAGCATTTAAGCTGTAAAATGAGTACTGGGAATGGAATATTATTAGATTTCCTTGCCACATAAAAATTCTATGACTTTTAATAAACAATTTCTATTTATTTATTAAGTTTGTTATAGGTCATTTATTTAGTTTCATTTTTCTCCATAGGAAAAAGTGTTACACAAACTAAGTTGGCAGGTCAGCCTACTGTGTCTCACCTCCCCTGGGCAGAAAGATGAGAGGAGGGGTAAAGGAGGGCTAGGGATCAATCTGACCCTGGCTGGGCTGGGCCTCAGGAGCCAGGTGGATCTAAGAATGGATGGAACTGCCCGTGGCTGCAGGGGCAGGAAGAAGCAAAGGGAGCCCCAAATCCCAGTCCTCAGTGAGGTGTGAGGTACAGACGGATGGACAAGACCTGCAGGCCAGGAAGCCGGGACAGGAATTGGTTTGTACCAGGAATGGGAAGAGGTGAGAAAGGGGGCCCAAAGAGAAGAATCTGCAATAGGAACAAGTATGCCAGAAAGAGGGAGAATCCAGAAGTTTCGCAGAAGTAGCCGGACAAGGGGGGAGCAAAGACTGGAGGAGGATTCAGTGAGGAAACAAAGCACAAAGTACTGAAGGTGATCTCTGGCCATCACAGGCAGCAGAGACACTTCCAAGTGCTGAGGTCATCCCTTCCTGTCTACTGTGTGCCCAAGATTGTTCAACCAGCTTTCCTTTCCACTCCTATCACTCACAGGGTAGAGCTATTTGTCTTCATCGTTACAGAGGCACAGAACAGAATCTTCAGTAGCCTTGCCAACCCTCTGCCTCCTGAAGTAAGAACATAATCTTTGAAAAGTTTTCAATCTCTGAAAAGTTTCAAACTATAATTCTGCTTGTGAAAATAGGAAATAGGCTGAAGGAGCTCTCTTTTTCCCCTGTCCTTCTACAGTTAGGAAAGACAAAGGCCCAGAAAGCTAAATTAGGTGGTTCTTAAGCATATTTACATTTCAAAACAAAACCCATTCACCCATTAAGGACCTTTTAGGCACTATGGTAGGCCTTGGGGATTCAGATATGAATATGATATTGAGGACGGACATGAAAAATGAAACTGTAATATAATATGATCACAGCTATTAAGAGGCTTGTATAAAGTCTCTGTTTCACAGATGGGTTCTGGATAATTTGTTACATTAAGTGAGAGGGGGATAATATAAGATTGAGGTAAGGAAGGGTTTGCCATGGAAATGGGTAGGAAAAGGTGAACATTACCTCCTCTTTTCCACTACAAGTCCTATCACAGTATTCTTGCCCAGGAATAGCACTGGGGCAAGTTACAAAAAGAGGAACCAAAATTGGCAGCACTGGGAACAGGCAACAAAAGCACTGGGAAGTGGCAACTCTTAGGGAGAAAAAAAAATTACTGGCCTACTAGCTAGACATGCCCTTTCCCAGTGTGGTGGTTTTAATATATCTAACAAACACAATAAGCAGAACTGCTGTGTGATTTTGTGATTTCAGAGTAAGTCACAAAAGGCATTGTGGCTTCCTCTTTGCTCTCTCCCTTGGATCACTTGTTCAGGAAGACAACTCCTTTGTCATGAGGGCCCTCCAGCAGAGGAAATGAGACTGCCAGCCAACAGCCATGTGAGTAAACCATCTTGGAAGCAGCTCCCCCAAGCCCCAGGTCAAGTCTTCAGATTACTACAGCCCCAAGACTATGTAAATATCCTGTTCCTTCTCAAAGTTTTGCCCATTAATTTTAGCATTCATCAATGGGTCTTGTTTGCAACAATTATTACACGGTATTCATTTAGTGGTGATTTTCGATTACCATCTTTCTGTCTACATTTATTAACTGGAATTCTTCTGTAAGGAAGAGCCATCCCTTCTCCCCCATTTATTTATTTGATTTTTATAACAGTATGGATTCATGGATATTTATTTTATTGTAAGGACTAAAAACCCAATACCATTATTGTTCATTGTGGTGGTTAAAATGTTTCAGTTTTGGCAATTAGGAACACTTAAAATTGGTCCTTATGTTCTTTCAACAAGTTTTCATCCTTTTTTGAGTATCATCATACTTTCTGGCACCACAAGACAGTCCCAGCTCAGCTTGTATTTTCCCTGCTATAGCCCTGAAATCAATTACTTCTCCAAGGAGACTTAATTCCTTTTAATAGGGTATGGTGTTTAGAAACCAAGATCTGAGTGCTAGGTGTGGCTCATTACTATGGGAATGACATTGCTTCTAGGATCCCTAAGTAGAAAGATCTACAAAACATATGTAAGTATACTAACTCATGTATACATATACAACTATATTGTTGGAAGTATACCTTCATCATAGATTCCTAGGAGTGGACTTGTTAGGTCAAAAGGTTAATACATGTGTAGATGTGTAGGTTCTTTGGTATTTCCCTCCAGAGGAGTTACACCAATTTGCATTCCCTTCATCAATGTATGAGAGCATTGGTTTTCCCACAGTTTCACCAAGTTTTAAAACATGTTGTCTTATTTAAAAATTTCTGTCATTCTGAATTTGTATTTCTCTAATTATCAGTGTGAACATTTTTCAATGTGTCTGAGGGCCATTTTTACATAGTTTCTTTTTTGTGAATTGTCTGTTCATATCTTATGTGTCTGTTCTTTCACTTATTAGCCATGTGATCAGAGCCTCAGTTTGCACATATGTTAAAATGGCATAATAGTGCCTAACCCCTCAACTTTACCAAGTTGTTAAAACCGAATGTGAAAGTAATCTGTAAAATTTAAATCACTATACAGTATGCTTTTTTAAGCATAAGAATACATAATTACCACAATAATATGTATTGCTACTTTAGTAAACATGTATAAACTTCTCTACTGATATAAAAGGCTACAAATTTATAAAACATAGATGGAAAAAATATACATAGAAATATCAGAATCTACTTGCAGTGAAAGAGCCCTCAAAATTACATTAAAAAGTCCTATTTTATATTTTTTCACTACTTCTCTGACTGTATACAAATCCTTTCATCACATATAGAAGTCTGCAGACTTTAAAGGCATATAGAAAAGTTGGGAATTTTTAAAAAATTGAAACTACACTGATAAAATATAAATGAGCTCTGGTCTCAGATATGACTGTCAGAGCCTGCAGGGGTTTCAGGGAAAGATTCTTTACTTGAGTTTATGCAGTGGTAAGGAGTATAGGATACTAATTAATGGAGCAGGAACACACTCTCAGAGTCAGAGAACTTGGGTCTGAATCTTCATTCTTCTATTTACTAAATGTGTGTTCTTAGTTTCCTCATCTGTATAAAGAGAAAAATAATGCTGTCCCTTAATTTTAGTGAAAACTACTAACAAAGTTCATAAATTATCAAGCAGAATTCTTGGCATACAGCCTTCTCCAGTATATGGCAGTTATTATTATTCTCATTATTAGTGACACATTTGGAAGTGTGGCCTACAGTAGAAGGCCAATTAAGAGAGAATTCTCTTTGGCATGCAGCAAAAGGTACTCTTTTCTATACTTTAACTGCACAGAAAAGAGTTGGAGGCAACAGCCTCTAGAGACAGTAATTCATCTCCCTGAGCCAAGGACACAAAATGGGACATGACAGAGGAAACACCTCTCTCCTCTAATACACACAAAAGAGCTTGTCCAAATTAAATGAGGCTACATGCAAAGATTATAATACAAAGTTAAATAAAATTTGGCACTTGCTACTTCTTATATGGTTTAGTCCTCTTTCCTATCCTAGTTTTATAGGAAAAAAATGAAGAGTTGATGATTTTAAAATGCTATTTGGTTTAGACCTTATCTCAGGTTTTCAATATTCCAAAGATTTCTGTTTATACCTCCTGACCAATTTGTGTGGGGAATATAATTTTTTATACATGCCCATAATGGAATGAACTACTTTCTACTGAAGCTGAAAGAAAACACAAATCAGCTGTGTTCAAATCTATTATACATTAGCCAGTATATTATCACACAGACATGAGTATTTAATACAAACATTTAAACTCTGCAAATAACACAATCTCAATAGAGTAAGAAAAAGCAGTACTGAAATTACAAGATGTAGTGGGCTTTGGAGTCAGACCTCTGAAACCTGGCTTTCCAATTCAAATGCTCCAAGCCTGTTACTCCTCTGTGAAATGAAGATAATAATACCTATGTCATGAGCTTGTTATAAAGATTCAACAATGTATATAATGTCAAGCTTGGTCCCTTGCATAAGAGTGGTACTCAATACATCTTAGTCTTTTATCTCTCTCTCCTGAATATAAAGTGAAGATCACAAAACAGAGTGTAGGATTCTAAAGAGAACCAGGCAACCCTTGCTTTAGCTGACACAGCACAGCCTGCTGGCAAGGCTAAGACAACTAAACACCCAGCAAGGTCACAGGCTACACAGGCACGGCTGTGAGAGTGTGCTCTTGCCAAAAAGTCGTCAGCTGGCAAAACCCCAAGCACAAAGGAATGGCATTTTTAATCATAATGAGGCTGAAATATAAGTATTTTCTGCATGAAAAAGCTTTAAGCTATTTCTTCTATTCTTAAAAAAGAAAATCCTCACTCAATAATTAACTTTGGAAGAGACCGTTAATCTACTAGCTAATAAGCTGGTTTGTTTCTTCCTTCTCTTAATTTCAATGGACCAATAGTTTTCAATAAATATATCATGCAGTAATATTTTTTTAAGTTCCTGTGCAAAAATTGCTCAGTATGTGAACTATGTAAAGCAAGGAAGTTGTCCATCTGCAAAGATGCTAAAGCAACAAAGAACTTTTTCATGTGGCTTTTTAAAGTGGTG